TTTTCTGTGTTTCTGTTATGCTTCTACCAAAAGACTTTCTGAAGGTTATGTAAGGAGGAGGTCAGACCCATATCCTCTCCCCAGTTCCAAAAGGAGACAGTGTATTCCCCAGAAGTTGAACCAAAGAAGTCCGGGCTCAGAGACACCAGGCATTGTAGAAAACTGTTCTGCAAACAAGGGGATCAAATAAAAGCCACACACTAAGCCTTGAGATTCCAGCTTCTTCCCTGTTGAGCTCCCTGAATCTTGGCATGCACTGCCCAGGCAAAGACCAAAGGATTCCTCTCCAGTAAAATGACACGCCCTGGGGAAAAGATCCGCAGATACTGTCTTTGGAAGTTTCCCAATGAAACCACAAGGCTTGCTCCTGACAGCCCTCACAGTGAAGCTGTGTGGCGGAGAAGCCCAATTCACTTTCAGTGACTCACCAGTAAACAGGAACAAAGCAAATGATCACTGAGTAAGTTAACTCGAATTTCTGACATGAAACTAAATGGGGGGGGGGGGGGGACCAAGATAGTGCAAGAAGAAAAGTTAAGTACATAAATAAATAAATGTCCCCAGAAAGAGAAAAAATTTCCCCATGAAAAAAAGGAAGAAAATGCATACAAATTGAAACTAGACAGACTCTAGAAAAATACTAGAAATGTCTTTCTGGAAACTACAAAGACAGCAGAAATTCAGGAAGGTTAAGACAAAGTAGAGAAAACCTGCCAAGGAGTAAGGAGGCATTAAGACAGAGAGAGAGGAAAATCAGAGAAGCAGAGGGCAAACGAGGAGGTCCCGCCCAGCAGCAATTCAGAGGAAGAAAAGAGAAAACCAAGGGGGAGGAAATCACCAAAACACATCACGAGAAAGTGTCCCAGATCCGAAGGACAGTTTTTCCAGATCCAGTGTTCCGCACAGAGGCTGAAATAAGGAGTGCCATAAAAAGGAGATCCTGAAATCTTTGGGGGTTAAGAGAGAGAGACGGGAGCAAAAAGACAAGTCACCTGCAGTACTTTTTAATGACAATTGTAGGATCTAGAAAACAATGGTGCACGGGCTTCAAGATCTGAGGACACATGCTTTCCTATCTAGGAGACAGCCATGTTTCCAACCAAGTGTGAAAGGAAAGCTATTTTCAGTTATGTGTCCAATAAATTTGCTCCCACATCCCCTTTCTCAGGAAGATCCTAGAACACATCCCATTAGCAAGAGGAAGTAAACCAAGAAAAGAAGTCACAAGACACAGGAAAATTGGGGATCCAGGCAAGGAAAATGACAAAGGTGACCCCAGGACAGCAGCTGTGCAGAGGCCCACAGAGCAGGGTGGACGCTGGCTCCAGCCCAGGAAGAAGGCGCACCCCAGAGAAAGGTGCCAAGGACAGCGGGAGAGCCCAGTCAGAAAGCTTCGGGACATCCGAGCGAAAGGGAAGCACACGCGTGAGAAAGAGAAGCGGCAGAGGAAAGGAAATGCGACCACTGCGCTCAATGCCTTTACTGCGAATCTTGGTTCCGTGCTCAAAAGAATGTGAACCCTGGACACCAACCTAACTGAAAATTGGTGCCTGTACACAGAGCATGGAAGAAGCAGCGGTTTGTGCATGGGGCGGGCAGAAGGGGGGTGACGTACGTCAGAGTTAAAATCTCATCTTCCATTGTAGGAAGTCAACATGTGATGCCCCAAATGAGAAAAAATGACAGAGAAGTGCACGCAGAGTGTGCTGGAAGGCGGAGGAAGATGGCACGGAGACTCAGAGGTGGCTGCCTGGGGAGCAGGACATGGGAGTCAGTCTGGACAGGAGTTTTATGCTCCTGTTCTTATTACGTCTTTTTGCTTATTAATTTTTTTTAAAAATGTATTTAGGATATTAGCTTGATGGCGAAAATGTTTAAATTTTTAAAAATACAGAACAAAACCAAAGCAAGAAACACACAACACAGCAGGCAAGGAAACTCGAGAGAGTGACCTGCAGCAGGGAACGACAGTAAGACACGGGTTCTCCGGGGCACCTCCTACAGGGCTCTCGGTGAGAGAGAGGAGTGATTCCTCCCACAGCTGGTGGACAGTGTGTGCTGAGGGCTGGGAGCAGGTGAGAAAGGAGGAAGGGTAGAAAAGATATTCACAGGTGGAGAGTCAACAGATGTGGCAGACCGATTAGGGTGCTACGTAAGGACACACAAGGCAATGCCACAAATATCCATCCACCTGCGAATTCACTTACTTACTCCCCAAACGCTGGCTCTTTGGAAGCATCAGATTCCCCACTCCCCACCATAAATACAAAAGCATTTTGATTCTTTTTCTAAAAAGATTTTTTTAATTTAAGAGAGGGAGGGAAAGAAACATCGATATGAGACAGAAAGGTCAATTTTTCATATGCGCCTAGATCAGGGACTGAACTGGCAACCTAGTCAGGTGCCCTGACTGGGAATCGAACTGGCAACCTTTCACTTTGCAAGACGGTGCCCAACCCACTGAGCCACGCTCAACAGGGCTGCTTTTCCTTTTGTTTATTATGGAATATACAACAAGAAAAATACAGAAAACAGAAATGATCATCCAGGTACCAACTATTCATCTTTTAAAATATTAATATTTTTGTTGTTTGCCATTAGTTTTTCATATCTGCTAATTTTTTTAAAGGAAAAAGCATATGGATTTAGTTGAAACCCTCTTCAAACCACTTCCTCCTAATCCCACTCCCCCGACTGCCTCCCAGAAGAGAACCATAAACCCAAGTTTGGCTACATCTCCACGCACCTCACGCCTGAAACAAGGGCAGTCATTTGAATGAATTCTATGTCCCTCTCTGTTCTAAAACACCATGATTCAATAGCATGAGATAAAAGTACTGGATGTTCTGTAACTGAAAGGCAAAAACCTATACTACTGTGAAACACACAGAAATATCTGAAAATGATTTCAAACCTCAAAAACGGGCGGGATCATAATGTGACCCTTTGGCCAAAAAAATCACAGTGACTTTATTTTCACAGAGTCAGGAAACATCATTATCACTGCACAGGGCGTAGGAGACCGAAGTTCCAGAACGTGGCCGTGCTCTCCTCTCCTCGTGACTACCAGCTCCAGGGGAGAACAAGGATGGGCTTGAACGGAACACCCTTACTGGAGTCCCACCTGCCCCTGTAACTAATCCAGTGTGGCACCGAACTATCCCCATTGTCACTGCCTTCTCCTGTAGCAGATCACAACAGCAAAGAGATTTTTAAATACTTGTAATGCCGGTTTCACTTAAAAGCGTTCTTGGTGATACAAGAGAGTTGTCTGTGTTACCTCTCGACCTGCGAGCCCACGTCTCCATTTTCTGGGAGAGAAAATGGGAAGTGCACGTAAAGCGGACCAAGGATGACGGTCAGGTTCAAGGACAAGACTCGTGTGACCCTTGCTGTGAGCCAAACGAGTCACCGTGTTTATGGAAGACCACTTCTATAGGAGAGAACTGACAAATGCGGTATCTAGACCTGGGTGCTTGGCAGACGCTTTCTGGACAGTGAAGGGAGGAGGTCAATTCAGGAAAAACCACTGACAGCGTTTGCTGCCAAAGGCCAGCCTTCCAGCTTTCAACTGAAATTAAAAGTTTGGAAAACGTTTTTCTACCACGAGTCTGACAACATTCCAACACATAAATATTTTTCTGATGAGCTACGTGGTGATAGTAACAACTGTGATTTCTTGAAATTGCATAATGAAATGTGTTAACTTCTGAAATATCTGTGTTACCCAACAAACCAGTATCTTCCAAATGACCAACACACAATGCAGAAAAACAACGTCTGGGCCAAGGCCCATTCAAAGTGCAAGAAAAACCAATGGATCCTAGTGGGAAACAATTTTAAATGTTCACTAATCAGGTTTTAGACTCCACATTGGAACCAACATTTAAGCAATAAATGCTTGTCGAGTTTTGGGACAGTATCAAAAGAACAGTCACAATGATCAAAAAGACACTTAAAATACTCCTCCCTCTTCCTACTATCTGCATAAACTGCTAAACACTTATTGAATTATTCTACCTGGATGTTAAAAACCGTAAGCACATAATCACAATGATTAATTACCACAGTTTAATCTCTGATCATTATCAGTCATTTCAGAACAAATAACAATTCATTATTTATTTTAGATGCTTCTGCAGTTAGTCTTATATAGTTACAATATACATGTATCAGAGGCTTCACTGACCATAGAATCAAAACTAATCATTGCTCCCAAAAAGCAAACAGAAATGAATATGGTAAATCCTTACATCTGTTTTAGATACATACAAATAAAGTCCCTTTTCTCTAGTGACAAAGGAGTAGACCCTACTCATTTAACATGTGACTCCTGAAATCTACACACTAATCACCTGTGTGACCTACATGGTGTTGATAGATCTAAACCTCGGTTCTTAAATTTCTAAGGAAATGTCTTTTCATGGAAAACCCCAGACCTTTCATAAATTTCAAAAGAAATAACTCCAAACCCCTGCACTTCAGAAGTAGCACCTGAAACATCATGAACTTCTCAATGACCCATTTCTAGATTGGTTAAGAATTAAAGAAGAGAAATGTTCTTCTTATACAAATCCATCCTTTTATTTTTTTTTAAATATTTTATTTATTTATCTTTAGAGGGGAAGGGAAGGAGAGAGGGAGAGAAACATCAATGTATGGTTGCCTTTTGTGTGTCCCCTGCTGGGAACTGGCCTGCAGGGAACTGGTCTGCAACCTAGGCATGTGCCCTGACTGGGAATCGAACCGCGATTGTCTGGTTCGCAGGCCCGCGCTCAATCCACTGAGCTACCATCCTTTTAATGAATATCATAAATCATTCATTTCAAAGGCAGGAAACTTGAAAAAAATTCATAGTAAGAACTGATACTGTCTTCACCAATAAAGTTGTAATACCTTGCCCTGTGAAAGCAAAGTTACACACTGTAGGTTTTTAAGTCAGAATATTCAAGAAACAACCAGAAGCTGCCACCACTCCTTACCCACTGCAGCACACTCACCTTTGCAGTTCACTGAGCCCCCTGGCAGTCGGCAGACTGGGAGTTTGCCTCAGGAAGTTCTGTTTCAGGTTGAGATGAGTGAGGTCTTGGCTGTAGAAGAGGTTGGCAGGCAGATGCTCCAGGCTGCAGCATGAGAGGTCCACTGAGCTAATGCGCTGCGATGCAACCTGGGGGGCACAAAACACAGCTCCATTACCATTCCACCCGCTCGCCCGGCGACGGCTCCGTATGGATGGAAACGAGAGAGCCGCATCGAGGAACAAAGACACACGATGCAAGTAGCATTATTAGTCCAAATATAAACCAATGGAGGATTTACTTAGTACAGAACTGAGTCAAGTACCTGCTACAAAAGCAGAAACCAGTGTCCAGGCAGGGAAGGAACTCAGAGTAACCTAGTATAGAAGACAAGTCACCAAGAACACAGATTATCCTACTGAGTGTAGTGATACCAGTGGCCACCTCCAACTCTAGAAGTTATACTCCTGAAAACATCCAGGATGAGAGAATTCAGAGCTAAATAATACAAGACTTTAGAGTAAATACAGGGTTGGGAGACAAACACTTAACTGAACCTCTGAAAGTCCTTATACATTTTGATTTAAAACAGTGGAATAAAAAAGCACCATCAGCAGTCTTGGACGTATCTTTGATAATGGCAGATACAATCAGATTCCACTGCTTGCCTGCTTCAGCTTCCAACTTCTTGGTTGCCTCTCACACCGAGTTCAGTCAGATGCTTAAAAACTCACTGTGCTTTACTTGTAGGTATTCTAAGTAAAATTTACTTTATGTCTAAATGTTTATCCACACATTCTAAGCCTTCCTGGTTAAATGTCCCTTCCTGTGGCCAGAGTCCCAGGGCTGAAGACCGCACGGGCCTGCTGAGCCAGTAAAGCACTGCAGTTCTCAAGTGCCCTCTCCAGTACCCAGGCGATGGGGCGCCAGCTCAGGCCACTGCGCAGGGCTGCAGCCCCAGTTGCACACAAGCGGCACCTTCTCTCCGGACGGAGGCCATGGGAACGTTGTTCTAACATCTGGTTGATTCTCCCTCGGGCTCTTTATCTTCACCAAAGCTTTATCTATGATTCACTTGACGCCCTTTTCTATTACCAACCCCCAGCTTTCTCTTTCCTAATCACAGAAGGCAGCAGGACATGGTCCTTAGGAGTGTGAGTCCGGTGTCAGTGTGTGGATCACATCCCTGCTCCCCACTCAGGAGCGAACAAGACTTGGAGAGCGCAAGCTCCAGTGTCCTCGTTTGCACAAAAGACATCAAGATGACACCTGTGCCTACATGCCCATCAGAGAAGACACATTAAATCAGTGATGATTGCTAATATTGTGACCATGAGTGCTTCCAAAGAGAATGGTTCCCATCTTACATCCACTGCGATCCAAATTCTCCTGATGCTAAGAAGGTATTCAGAATTAAATATGCACAAAACAGCTCTGGCTGGTGTGGATCAGTGGACTGAGTGCCAGCCTGCAAACCAGAGGGTCGCCAGTTTGACTCCCAGTCGGGCACATGCATGGGTTGTGGGCCAGGTCGGAGGTAGGGGGCGCACGAGAGGCAACCACACTGACGGTTCTCTCCCTCTCTTTCCTCCTCCCTTCTCTCTAAAAATAAATAAACAAAATCTTTCTTAAAAACCTGCACAAAACCTATCCTCCTGATGACATGTTACTACGGGGATAACGGGGTAAAAAGTGCCTGGCAGGGACCAACTCCAAAGATTTTACAAAGAAGTCGGAGTTTGTACTGTAACAATTTCATCTTTCCTTGAATTTTCACTATTAAATAAAGAAAAGAAAATCCCCAACAAAGCCAAATCATTCAAATAAACCAAAAGATGTGAAAAGAGCCAGAATTTAAACGGGTCTGCAAGGCATGTGCACACACGCCACAGCCACACGGAGTTCCTGGCAGGGGCCTGTGCTTAGGGAAGAGGCTGAGAGTCGCACTAGGAAAAACCCTGCATTTAAAAGCGGGTGTTAAGCACGCAAAGCCGCGAGGGACCCTCTGCTTCCCGAGGTACAGCAGTTCCAGACAGACACTGTCTCTGCTTTGATATGCGCACCTCATGAGAGAAGAGAGGTCAATTACGGCATGGTGCCTGGTGGCGTGTACAAGGAGCGTGAGCCGAGAAAGGGTTCCCGGAGGGCTCGATGTCCAAGTTCAAGTTGGAAACCTGAGTGGAAATGGGCGTTTTTATCTGCCCCAAACCCTTTCCCCCTTCTCGCTTCCTATAACAACCCTTCAGACACGTGTAAAGCTGGTGACAACCGCAAGCAAAGGCCGCTGGTCCCCGTCTGCCGAACCCACGGGCTGCTCCGGGGGAACCAGCATGGGACCCAAGCCAGGTCGATCAGAGCCTTCTCTGGGATGTGTATGTTCTGAAGCCAGGAGACAGAGAGGGCTGCATTTAAGATGGATCAACTGATTTCATACACATCAACCTGAACTAGTAAAAAAGGCAAGCTGCAGAATGTTATATACAGTATAACACCACTTATGAAAAACATTTTAACACAACTCGAATTCTGTAGGAACAGTTACACGGCCAATAAAGCTATAAACCATCCGTCAGTCACGTGCCAAGTCGAGGATGATGGCCTCTCAGTAGGCGGGGAGGGAAATGGAAACACGAACGGAGAGGAGATCCGGAGTTTATCTTTGGGGTTTATCTCCACATAAGAAAAATAGAAGCTATGACAGAACTGTGTCAACATGCTGGCAACTCAGGAGGCTGAGACATGGAAATTGTAGTATCCTTTGCGGCGTGTGTGTAATTAGGAAAAAAACAACATAACTGCAAGAAAAATATCAGTAAGAAAAGGGAGATGATCCGAGAAACGGCAGGGAGAGGTTAAGGTAAGGGGAGTACCCTGTAAGGAGGTCAGCAGGGTCAGGCTGAGAGCGGGCAGCGGACCCTGCAGAGCCTTGCTGGTCACTGTGAAGACTGCTTTTCAGGTGAGTGGATGAGAAAGAAGTGCGGGAAGGCTCTGAGCGGAGTCCCTGTCTCCAGACTGGGGGTGGCGAAGGGCAGTGTTTCCGCCTATTTTGCTCAGCACGCAGTAGGACCCTCAGGAATAATCTGCTGGAAAAATGGCCACGGCACCCCTCCCACCTCCCCTCTCACCAGTGCGCCTCCCACCCACCCAGGCTGTCCTTTCATGTGGAGATGACTTTGAAGACGGCAGATTCTACTTCAATTGACGCATCACACTAAATACTCTCTATGGACAACTAAGAGTAATGATTAAATGTCAAGTTGCATTTGATTCCGTTCCTCACCGTGGACTGCACGCTGCTCCCGCTGTGGGGAGGAAACCACACTGACAAAGCGACAACAAGCAGGAGCAGTGTGTGGGAGTCGGGGCAGCCCGGGGAACATCCACAGCGAGAGCAGAAGTTACCGAAGTGGGGAAGGCAGTGGGCGGTGGGCCGGCCGGCTGACCACAGAACCACCACTGGCTGCACCTCTGCCCAGCCGGGTCCCTGCAACGAAGGGAACGCTGAAGTGCTTCCGCCCCGACCACGGGGGCACACGGGCTCCACCACAGAGAGGACTGGCTTGATTCCTAGTGAAACACCTACCTGCTGGTTACCTACACAGCACCTATGAAATCTCAGATCCTTCGCAACAACATAAAGACCTAAATAAGCCATAAAAATATATCAGAATGCTACTCGTACACACCTCCCAGCAAGCAGCCTTTTATTATCCTAGCTTAGTTTTCAAGTGGTAGTAATAACAGCAACAGAGCTAACATCTAGGGGATGCTTCAGTCGTGACGGGCACGCTTCTACGTGCCCTAGACATAGTACAAGATTAACTTCACAATGACTCAGTGTGGAAGGGACTTCTCACTCCAGAGATGAAGGTTGACCTGAGTCACATGGGCGCCCAAGGTCACACGGAAACAGCAGCAGAACTTGAGTCTGAACAGAAGCCTGCGCTGTCACTGGCAGGCCACCAAGTTGGGGCCTCTACCCAGTGTGTGTCTGACTTGAAGGGAGGCTCCTCTAACTTCCATGATAAAATAATAACATCACCCCCCCAGACCAGAGCAAAGACAATTAGATGGCACCCTTAGGACCAGCTTCAGCCTTGGGGACGAAGACAGGAGACTGAGGAAGACAGGAGCCCTCCTGGAGAGAAGCAGAGAACACCTGCTGACCACAGACAGACTTCAGGGGACAGGGGAAGTCCCACGGGGGAAGTCCCATGGGGGCGCCCCCTCAACATCACAGGCTGGGCCCACTCCTACCTCACATGGCTTGCCCACCTGTGCAATGATGGTGCTACCTGGTGAGCACCTCGTTAAATTTTAAAAGGTTACAGGACAAGTTTAAAAGGAGGCTACAGAAATTTGGCAAGAAAATTAAGGAAACAGGCATAGGTAGAAATCGCCTTAAATCTGTTACAGAGAGGAACTTCTAAAGGACCTCATGTTACTATAGAAAGTCCTTTTGGCAAAAGCTACTGTATTTTTATTACAACCCCAAACATCAAGAAAATGGAAAACAAAGTTGAGGCCCAGGCAGCTCGGCACAGAGGAGAAAGGGCACAGGTCTAACCACGCACGCGCCCTACAGGGACAGCGCTACCACTTCCCACAAGGTGGCTCTGGAAAAGCCCCTCTGCCCACCTGTCCCTCAGTTTCTCCACCTCTAAAGTGGACCAAGTAGTACTCTGACCAACGACGCAAGCCGCTGGGAATGAAATGTGCTCACTTCAAACTCAGAGGAAGCTCTGCAGACCAAGGATCCTTAAACCAACAAGCAGAGCTGCAAGCGACAGAAAACTGTAAGACAAGAACAGACCCCCGCACGGGCCGCCGCTCCCGCCACTGAGCAGGCACAGAGGTAGAGCTCACAGGGACAAAGGCAGAACCTACGCTACCAAGCAGCCCGCAGCCCACCGGTAAACTACACACAGAGGGACTGAGTTCAGGCTTGGGGAGTCAGGGGGAGTCTGAATTAACAACCGCACATGGTTTAAGGCTGATAATTTACCTTACAGTCAGTAAATTAAATGGGTTTTTTTTTTCCTCCCATGAACATACATATGCTGGGAGATACACTGAAATGAACATGAATCCCAACCACCTGCTCAGGTTGTCTGTCTTCTTTTCCAAATGGCTTGTAAACGAGTATGAA